AACTTTAGGATTTGAATCTTAACTTCATTATAAGCTTATAACAAAATTAGAAGCAAGTTTTTGGATGGATTTTTTTTTTTTTTTTTTTTTAAAGAAATTTCTCATTTTAGAAATAAGATAAGTAAATCAATAGTGATTTTTAGTAGATTTTCTTTCTTTTTTTTTTTTTAGGAAAATTATTAAAATTATTATTTTAGAATTATGATAAACAATTTGTTAATAACTTTTTAAGTGAAAATTTATTATTTTCCTACTCCTTTTTTTTATTTTTTTTTAGAAAATTTCTTATTTTAGAATTAAGGTAAGCAAACTATTAATAACCTTTTGAATGAAAATTTATTATTTTTCTTTTTTTTTTTCTTATTTTTTTTAGAAAATTTCTTATTTTAAAATTAAGGTAAGCAAATCATTTGTAACTTTTTTGGTGAAAATTTACTATTTTTTTCTTTTAAAACTTACCACTGATCCACTAATCCTATCCAAGTTGATAAATTCTGATTTATTCTAAAGAAAGGTAAGTAAACATTAGTATTTTTATTTAATATAAAAAAAATCATTAACAAATTATTTTTTTTTATAAAATCACTGATCCCATCTAAGGCCGATTGAACTTAACAAATTCTGATCTATTTATTCTAAGAAAAGTAAGTAAATATTAGTGTTTTTGTTTAATTTAATAGCAAATAAAAATTAATACTGTTAACGTGTAATTCTTGCGAATTACAACTGTTAGATAGGGTATCAAAGTATTATTTCTTTTTAATTGCACAGTAATCTTAAGGCTTTTACAAGTAAAGGTTTCAAATAAAAGTTTTTACGAGTATTTCACAATCAACAATTCATGAGATATTGAGTAATTATATTTTCAAGTAATATGGTTATTGATAAGATAAGAAATAGAAGTAAAGAAAATAAAAGATATGACAAGAGAAAAGAAAAGAAAAGAAAATAAAGAAACGAAATATGAAACTAAAATATAATACGATAGGCCTATTTGCCTCTTAAAAACTACTGAAAACTGACTTGTCAAATCCTACTTTTTACATGGTTTAAAAAGCTATCTATTTATATAAAATACAATATATAGAAAGATATAACTAATATGTCTAATATATCGTATATTTCAAATATATCTGATATGTCATATATGTCAATCTATCTAATATATCTTATTTGTCGATCATATCAGATATATTATATATGTCAGACATGTTAGAAATGTTAAATATGTCAGATTTGTTAGATTTGTCAATCATCTGCGCCATGTATGTCCTATCATATTTTATTCGTTCACAATATCCAATTTTGCAATGAAATATCTTTCTATATCTTTTACATCAGTATTATCAAAAAGACTTTTTTCTAATGCTAAAAATTTGATTACTCCTTAATGAACTTAGTTAGATTCATATCTTATTAACCAGTTTATAATTTGAAAGAAACAGAAAATATATTAACATATATGAGATGAAAACTAGTATAAATATCTAATTATCAATTATTTTTTTAACAAATATTAATAATCAATAATATAATTAAATAAATTTATTATTATAAATAAATTTTTTTAAGCGTATATAATTATAAATTATAAAAATATTATATAAATTATAATATATATTAAAATTTTGATCTACAAATATTATTATATTACAAATTTTATTGTTTTATAATGCATAAATTCAATTAGTTTCGATTATTTGAAATCAAAAATTGAATTTTAGAATTAAAAATTGCAAAAGATTAATTGTAATTTATTGATTCTAAAATTGATTCTAATAATAGGAATCAATTCCAATCCCTAATATTATTATATAAAAAATTTGATTGAATTAAAGATAGAGCTATAATTAATTTAAAATTTTTTAATTATAATTAATTACAACTATTTATAAATTTTTATATTAAATTAAATTTTATAAAGAATTATAATTAGTTATAATTTAAGTTGCAACTTATTGAGTTACAACCTATTAATTATATTATCATTTTTAAATTAGACTATAATATAATTAGATTTTGTACTGATCTACTTATCTGATTTTGATGAATTTTAGCTTGTTAAAATCACTATACTAAGGAAAATTATCAATTTTAATAGCTAGCCTGCTGAAAAAAATTTTCTATGCTTAAATTTCATTAACTAATAATATTTGATATAAATTATTAAAATATGTAAATTGTGTAAAATTGGTATTAATAATTGTATTTCAAAATTTTATTGGATATACTTTAAGTTTAAGAATATAAAATCATATTTCTAGCATTTATGGTTAATAAGTTATATGCTTTAAGACAAGTAATTTTTCTTGCATTTGAATTTTTTTTGCAATATTTTTTTTTTGCAATAATAAATTATATCATATATTAGTTAATAGATCCAAATAGATTCTAATAAATTATCATCTATTAAAATCTATTGATTAACAAACTATTTATGCATACTGCATCATTTGTATCTAATGAATTACCAATAGATCTGATCTATTAGATTATTTAACTATTGAAGTTCAATGGATCTGATCCATTCTCAATTCTGCTATATAATACTAAGTTTATTATATATGGAGGCAGTCAGTAGAAAAGGAGAAAATCCAAAATTTTTGTTAATTTTAATTATTAAGCTAATTTTGTGTACATGATCGAGATCAGCCAAGTGGTCCAATAATATAAACTTTAACCAAAATTTGGATTTCCTCCTTTTCTACTGACCGCCTCCCATATATTAAATAATTATTTATTATTATGTAAAACAAAAAAAATTTATATTAAAAATACTATTTATCAATTTTATATTTTATATAATATTTAAATATTTTGATATAAATATAATTTTTTTTTATTTATTTGATTACTTTATATTAATATTAAAATTAAAATTATTATTTTTAAAATTAATAATTTAAAATATAATTAATAAAAAAGTTGAAAAAAATTATGAAAAATTATACTTAAAAAATTTTTATAAATTTTAATAAATTAAGTAAAAAAAAAAAGAATTATATTAAGTATATTTATAATTTCAATATTAAAAATGTTTATCTAACAATAATATATTTAAATTTTATATAAAAGTTCATTTTTAATACATAAGCTTAATATTTTTATATAAAATAAAGTTACTGCGACCTCTCTAAATGTATCCCCCCTTGGGACCATAGTGAAAATTTGAAAAAATAAGGGTATGTATTTAAAGAAAGAAATTTTGTATGATCTTTATATACTTGGGGCTATATAAAGAAAGTGTTAATTTAAAGAAAAAGTATATAATGCGTGCATTTAGGAAGAATAGGTCTCACTGTAAATCTATAAAATTATAAACATTTATAATATAAAGAAAATTTCAGTACTTATATAATTAATAAACTATAAAATTCATAAAATTGAAAGATCCGATATTTTAAATGATAATCATTCGATAAATTTAAATTTTCTATAAATAAATAAAGTTTAATTGGCGAAATCTATTTTTGAAAATAATGACCCACCAACCGCATATATGCATATATGCTATCATACTATTACATGTATTAACTGAATTTGTAGATCAAAATAAGCTGCGCCTTCTTACAAAGATTAGGTTTTACTATTATTGTAACAAAGTACAATGATTCTATTCATTGATTGGTTGATCTTTTTTTTCTCAAAATTAATTAATTTTCCTTTTAAATAAACAAATAAAAAAACGGAACAATTTTAAGCCCAAGAAAGAATTATTTTATCACAGTGTAATTAAGTTCGTTCGGGCGTTAAATATTATTTTTTTCAAACTTGCATTGAATTCGGAACTAGATCCATTTTTACTATATTGTTCTTAATAAGAATTGAACTTTCGTGTAGTACAGATTAAATTACAAGATAAATTTAAGGTTTATCATTTAAATATATTTTGGGATGATAACCATTTTTTTTCTTTACTAGTATGCATCAATAAACTGGAAACACAGCACCACTGCATTAAGAAAGAATTTTATCCCCTTATTTTGTTTTGTTCAATAAAAAAATAATAAACAAAACTTTTGGTTCTACCAAATTAGTTCTATAGATTTTTATTTTGGTGGCTAAGCTTAAGGGGAGAATAAGCATGATGCTAATGTTTTCTTTGTATAGAATTATTATAAATAAATCAAAAAAAAATTCATTTTTTTTTTAAAAAAAAGAAATAATATCACCTCCTTAAAGTTTTGATCTAAATTATCGTGGGATAAAACTGTAATAAAATATTGTATCGTATATAATACTACTAACAAAATGTATTCCTCATTAAACCCCGAGAAAGACTATTGGCAACAGATCAGAAACATTTTTAAAAGATACAAAGTTGAAACAGGTAAATGAATTAAATGAATTGGATTTTTTTTTTTAAAAATAAAAAAAGGTAATCATTTTATTTTTTTGTTATGAAATAGGACAAATAGCAACATTTCCTTCTGCGATGAACTTAAAACAGCAGCCCACAGATAACATAGGGATATGTAACGAATGCAATAAAAAACGACCGAATAAGAATTGGTGTAAACCTTGTTATTCTTCCCATTTTAAAAAATCATTTAATAAATGGACCAGTGGTAGTAAAATTTTAGATAAATTTATACATAAATCACAATTGTCATCAACTAGCCGAACCAATTGTTTAGAATGGATACCAAGGTATCATTTAACTGATGTTGAATTATTAAGTAAAAACAATTATTGTAGCGTCTATTCGGCAATTTGGGTTGATGGTTTTATTATTAATTGGAATAAAGAAGACAAATGTTGGGATAGGTGCAGCGGTGTTAAAGTTATTTTAAAAACATTTACAAATATTGATAATGATGTTTCTACTGATTTCTTACACGAGGTAAATATTATTTTCATTTGGATTTTTCTTTTAAAAAAAAAATTAACCACTCCCTTAAATTTATTAGCCGAAGGCTCATTTAAATTGTTGCGTCCCTAATGCATGTATCACTGCGTTTTACGGATTCACTTTTGACCCAGCAACAAACGAACATTTTATGGTATTAGAATATGCTCCAAATGGTACTTTACGTGATTATATTCAAAAGAATATTGGGACATTAGATTGGAAACGTAAATCGCTTATCTTACAAGGGATTGCGTCGGGTTTAAGAACCATTCACAGTGCCAATTTAATTCATGGTAATATTCATACCGGAAATATTTTACAAGAAAATTTACGTTCAAATATCGGAGATTTTAAGTTTGCCACGAAATATCATGCCAAAAAGAAACCCTCCTCTTCTTTACCTACCGCTGCCAATGCTTCGTTAAGTGAAGTATATGGTGTAATGCCTTTCATTGCTCCTGAAATATTAAGAGGACAACAGACTACTTTATCGTCTGATATTTATAGTTTTGGCATGATAATGTGGGAATTATCTTCATTAAATTTACCATTTTATGATAAACCTCATGATGCTCAATTGATTATGGAATTATGCGGTGGATCTCGTCCTGAAATTGTTATAGAAACTCCCGATGCTTATGTTTCTTTGATGAAGCGTTGTTGGCATTCTGATCCTTCTAAAAGGCCTACCGCAGAAGAATTGGTTTACATTACTGATGAATTATCATCATCTATGTCTTATAAAAAGATAGGTTTACCTGAAAAAGTATTGTTGGAAAATAGCATGATGGAATCTTTGAAAAATATTCATCCTTCAGCTGTTTATTCTAGTAGACTGTTGCTTACTCTTTATGCTATTCATAACCAAGATGACAATGAAGGTATTTATCATTTTAACAAAATTCCATTCCTTTGATTATATTATATTCTAAATTCGAACATCTTTTTTTTCTTCTAGATAATGACCAACGTTGGTCTGAATACGATTCAGAACCATTAATTTGTATTAAAAATGATAATTTATTATAATTTAATAATTTAATTACATTTATACATCTTTTATATATAATCTATTAGCAAATATTAAATACATATTTCGTGTGCTGTTGTCAATGATTCATATCGTTCCATTGCTTTTGCAATCGGCTTGGAATCGATGAATCAAATTCCAAAGTTTCCATCATTAAAAATTTTATTTCTATTATTCGCAGTGGAGTAAACATATTCGTCAGATGAAATATTAACTGTTTTGTCCTGTACCGTTACAAAATATAATTTATATGAGTCAGTCATCTGTACAGAATTAATAAACTGTGTCAACTATATTCACCTTTGTAGCAGACACTTCAATATCGTCTTCACCTTTTCTAGTTCGTTTTCCCAATTGCTCTCGACATGTAAGTTCTTACTTTCGAATAAAATATATAGTTTATTAATTATAGAATTATTATGTGATCAAATGTAAAAGAAAAAAATTAGCAAATTCCGAAAAAAAAATTGGTGTTTTAGGAGAGATCGCCACATGTAAATTGAACGATTTTTAAAAAAATATGATCGGATATTCACGTGAATAGCAAAATTGGACCATATATAATCACATAACCCGAGCTTTTTTTTTGATGGATTCCTTGAAATTTGGCGCAGGTATAACGAAAATATGCGCATCGAAACTAATAATTTTTTTCAGATATTTGGCGGAGTAGAATATAATGGTTATCGAAATTATTGACATATGGGGCCTTTGCAATAGAAAGGGGGGAAACTGGAAAAATTAATTTTACTTTTATACCCTTTCTATTGCAAAGGCCGCCCCATCCCATATACTCATTGCTAATCTCCATTATAGGTTCTAATAAATCGGGCTTTATTTTTTGATATATGCATCGGAAAAAAATTTGCTAAGTTACAAATTCAGGCGATATATATAAAAAAGTCAGGATATTTTACAATACGAAAAATTCTTCCCTTTATGATCTTCCGATTCATCAAAGTAAAGATAAAAAATTTCTTCTCATTGTATTATCAATAATTATTTTCACTTGGTCCATGCACTAAACCAAGATGAGTAAATGCTGGGGAAAGATACTTCTCTATATTACCCGGATAAATGAGTAGCAGTGTGGGCATTTGTTCTATATTAATCGTTCCCGTAAAAGTCCGGTTTGTGAATAAGACAAGAATCACATCATACTCGGTATTGTAATTTTTTACTGATTCCATTGTTTGTATCATACCATCGTTTAATGTCTGGTGTGAAAATAGTAGTAGTTGCATCGCGTTCTGAATACTTAATTTGCGAAAAGATCGCTACTTTCTTTCCATTGTAAGAATCCAGCAGTGATTAATGTTAGCACACCCTCGGTAATAGCGGAAGATGCCTTCTTCAAATGAGTGGGTCAAAGTTGTCATCACATGATATAAACTTATTAAACTTGCAACATCAGTTATCTTTTCAAGAAAATTCTTATTCTCAGTAAAGACTTTGAGTTTATGTATTTGTAACTTTGCGTTGGAGAAGTGTATCAGCACCTAAAGCACCACGAATATATCAGATAGTTGCCAGTTATTGCTTGTTTTACTGGTAAGTTCTTCATTTTGCAAATTGATATTGCACATAATCTTGATTTGTTCAGAATAAACCACTTGTCCTTTCAACTCTAATTCAAGTTCCTTAATTTTATAACTAACAGAATTAATCCTTGATTCTTGAAAATTAAACTACCAATAAGAGCTTTTTGGTAATGTCTATATAGAGATCCAAAGTTTTGCTACTGCCAAGGAGAATCATGTGTTGGGATTAAGAGAAAATTATCTTGAAAGACACGTTCTACATCTTTTACATTAGATGCCAGGAGCTTGTTGTTGAGTACTTTCAATGGCATAAAGGATATAACAATATTATCCATCAGTATTGTATACACTGGTGGAATTTCTTATCACTTACTCCACTGGTTATATTAAGTATTATTGATGTAATTATAAAAAGAAAATTTATTTTAAAAACTTGCTTATTTAAATATTAGTTTATTAATATATTTAACTCTACTATGAATATGTATCTTTAAAATTCTGATTATTCACTCAGAATTTAGTGTTAAAACATTAAATCTTATTAAAAAATATAATTAAAAATGGTAAAATAAAATTTGTGTTAGTTAAAATTCTTGTAGTTAATGTATTTCTTTATTGTAAATATAGAAAACATAATTGGCTTTTTATTCTTCCTTCCACTTAAAATTCTTGCATAATATCTATCTGCTTTTAGCTTTACTATAATGTAAATTGCTTCTTTTATAAGATAATGTAATAAAAATTAATTTGTAAAATAACAATAAAAGCATGAAGTAACATGAAAGAAAAGAATAATAATTCTACCAGTGTATACGTCATACACCATGAGATAAGCCTGTTATTCTATATAAAGTTATGGATAACTGAATTTATGCATAGATTATATAATAATTATATGCGTTTATGAGTATGTGATTATATCTATATTGTTACCCAACTAATGATTAGGCGGACTGAAACACATAATCAATTGAGTAGCAGCAAGATTTAGCTCAATCTTTATTAAGTTTTGGGAGAAACTTTGATTAATTCAGGTTTTTGTTGACTTCGGTATTCTTTCACGATTAAGTTTCAGATTTGGCAGTATGACGACTTTCAATCCTCCACGTAAGACAAATGATTTCCTCTGATGTAGAAAATCCTCAGTTAACGTTACAAAGTTTATTTGTAACCAAGTTGATAGTCATTTAAGTAATTTAAAGATTACTTAAACCTAGATGACATAAAGCAGGGTTTATAACGTTAAGTAATTTACAATTACTTAACCAAGGTTTTTCACAAAGCGAGTTGATAACGTTAAGCAATTTAATATTACTTAACCAAGGTTGACACAAAGCAATAATGTTAAGCAATTTAATATTACTTAACCAAAGTTAACATAAAGCAGGTTTTTGACACAAAGCAGTTTGTTTGTTACAAGATAATTTAGCAAAGAATTTTTATTATCTTATAAAATTAACTTCCTAAATTTCTATCGATACATGATGAAAAACTCAGCCTATTTATAATAAAATTTCTACACTAAGTTGCTATCTATTGCATAAAAACTATGTAATGATTCCCTCATTTTCTCGATGTAATATTGTTGTAATAATTGAGTAAT